TTTTGGATTTCGAAGCCAAATGCCTAAAGAGCCATGTGTATTGATTTACCCATGTCAAACATGCGTGGCTCAGGTGTAAGAACCTGCTGGATGTCTTTTAGTTATGCTTAACAAGGAAATACATTGTAATGACTTTCCCACACTCAATAATATTTTGCAAAAAATATTTTATCACTTACAAATGTCATCTTTCTTTTTTCATCATCTATTTCTCAAATCATGCATCCCAATGAATCTTAGGGAATTGGTTAGTGAGAGATTCCGCAATTCCCCTATTGTAGGGGCAACCGTAGTCCAAGACAGCCACACAAACGTTGTGGGCAAGAAATTTCATTTTAGAAACCCCTTTAGGAAGATCTGGGGATTGGCCCGCGTTCGACAATCATTTTGTCAACAGTCGAACGAGGGCTAGACAGGTATGGGAAAATACCATAAGAGGCAATTCCAGGGGCATAATTTTTAATAAAAAACAATCATCTTCTTTCAATCATCAACACTTTTGTCATGAAAAAGTTTTTCAAGCAGCATTCTTTTGAATACGACAATCATTCTATTGCATTTATACGCAAAAATGGGTTGTCACCTCAAGTTTTATTATTCGGATTATCATCATCCAACAAAGTGGGACACTCTGTAGCACCCCATTTTTTGCGCTCTTCAATCTTTCTGTAGCACTTTGATCTTCAAGCATTTTGATTGCTACAAATGTTTTTTTCTTTCTTTCTCTTTCTAAGTTTATTGTATTCTTTTGAAAGTTGTCTAGTAGGTTTAGTCAATCTGAATGTCCAAAGATGAATACTCCAGCACCTTTTTTTTCTTCTTTCGTTGCATTTTCAAGTTTATTTATTTATTTAGTTTGAGTATCCCCTTCTTTAGTCAATCTCATTGTTTTACCATGTAGCTCTTTATCTTACCTTGCTAGCACTCTTCTTTTTTTGTTTTTCGTACCACTCATGCATGTAACATATTTGAGCCTTAATTAGTTAATTTAGATTTCTTACTATATTTTACTATCTCTTTTTTTTTTAAATCTTCTCTTGTCCTAATTTTTGCCTTTTTCAATTTGTTAGGATTTTACTTTGATGAAACACCATTAATTTGTTTCAGTTTATGTATATTTATACCCACTTTCACTTTTTGCTTACGTTAGGACACCACTTAGGTGTTTTTGCATAAAAAATCACTCGACATCTCTCTCAAATTAAAATTGCACTTTAATTTCAATCATCTGAATTCAACTTTTTTCTTGCCCTCAGAGTAGTTAGGCTTACAAGGTTTTGATAGTTGCATGTTTATAGTTGTTCTACTAGGAATGCATCCGAAGAAATAAATTAGGAAAAAGTTCATAATGTTCAAATGCACTTTCATCACTTCAGGTTGCAACATGTAGTATTCATTTGCACATCTTATTTTCTTTTAGAAATTTAACATAATTTAGTGAGTTCATTTATTCTCACCATTTGAAAATCCATTTTAGAATCTCCAAATCTGTTTTATCTCATATGCAAAGAAAAGACAGCAGCTTCTCAAGTTGCATACCACCATCCTGCTAGGCATTCTTTGGATCTTTATTTCAACAAGTGTTTTATTTAATCTACTTAGTTTCATACATCCATTTCTTGTTCTACCAACTTTTTCATGACATATGCATAAATCTATCATCGCAACTTCAGTTTAGAAATCCCATTTTCGTTTAAAAATTCAATAGATTAATTCTTTTTCTAATTTGTTAGAGAGTCATACCTTTTCTTGCTTTAATCATTATTTAACCATTCTCTCTTTAGAGTTGTTGTTTTTTTCTAGTACATACTCCTTTTCTTAGTTAATAAAACGAGTAGATATAATTGTTATTCCTTTCAATTGCTTGTGTGTGTGTTATTTCTAATAAAGAGGTCACAAAATTATTAAATATTTCTTGAAACATTGGTGAAGTAGAGGCCGGTTTAACCGGGCGTGTGTGGGGTGCCTAACACATTCCCACATCGTATTTTGGTCCCCGAACCCTAAGAATCTCATCCCCATTGGGCAACGAGTCACCGAGAAAACAAAATGTCTTTATTGAAGAATCCTAGGTTTTCCTAAATTCCCAATTCCAAAAATTTAGGTGGCGACTCCAAACTTCGTATCCAAATCCCTCCCTCCCTCCGGGTCAGGTAGCCACAATATTTTTTTTATAATTTTTTTTATGATTTTAGTATGCATTTATTAATTCCTTTTGAATTATATATCATATAAATTATTAATGAACGTTATCATTCATGAAAGTATCTTCTATACCTTCAATGCTAAATGGAATTTTTTTTCCAATTATGAATATATAATATATTGATGCTTAGTCAGCATTGATATTTTGTGGTTATAACCCAAATATATACATGTTTTCGTATGTTGATTATGATGAATTTTTTATATATATGTAATTAAAACTTTATATTTAGTGTTAGGGAAAATTCCTAATTAGTACCCTGTACTTTGGGCCTAGTGCCACTTTGGTCCCTGAACTTTAAAACATGACAATTTAGTACTCAAACTTTCAAAACGTGGCATTCTAGTACTTGTCGTTAACCATCAGTTAAGTGACATTTGTGTCTAATTTGAAAAGACACAAATACCATTTGAGTGTCATATAATTTTCTTTATCAACCACCCAAACGCTGATAAAAAATGAACAGTCCCAAATCCTTGCCTCTTCTATTCGAGAAAGTTGGAGGCACTAGAATACTCAAAAGGGCATTTGTGTCTAATTTGAAAAGACACAAATGCCATTTGAGTGTCATATAAATTTCTTTATCAACCACCCAAACGCTGATAAAAATTGAATAGTCCCAAATCCTTGCCCTTTCTATTCAAGAAAGTTGGAGGCACTTGAATACTCAAAAGGGCATTTGTGTATTTTCAAATGCCGCTTAACAATTAGTTAATAGACGAGTAAACAATTGGTACTAGATTAGCATGTTTTAAAAGTTTGAGTATTGAATTGTCGCATTTTAAAGTTTAGGGACCAAAGTGACATTTGGCCCAAAGTACATTGTACTAATCGGGAATTTTCCCTTAGTATTATTGTTATATTTTTATGTTTTAGTAAAGTATTTATAGTATTTCTATACATATTTATGCATATCTTAATTTTTCTTTGATATATATACATATCCAAATTATATCCCAATACATCTTTTAAAGTTGCCTTTAGAATATGCTTGGCGTTCCCCATAAATTCCGGAGAGTCCGGATCTACTCGTCACAATGCGCTCCTCACGTTGATCTCACGGCATGTTTTGGCCGCACACCAGGAACATCTCCCTTCCTTGAATTATTATTCATGGGTTGATGTTCCCATTTTAGGGTGGGATGTACGCTATGTGAGGAGCAAATCCAAATTCAATTGCACAATATATTTTAGGGTAAAATACGAAAACCTCCCCTAAAGTTTTTGACAATAATAAAAATTTCCCTATAGTTTCATTGTAACAAATACCTCCCCTAAACTTTTGAGAAATTAAACAAAAACCTCACTTCCATTATTGATCCGAACAGAGAATGTATATACTTACGAAATTACCCCTGAAGTATCATTTAAAGACATCATAAAATACCATATTTGCCCTCCTTTCTATTCTACAAGGCTCTCTTCCACTGAGCTCCCATTGTTCTTCCCCTGAACCTAGAAGGTATTCGTTTTCGTTATTACTAAAAGGGCTTCCTGCTAACTTGCATCGATGGCACTTTTCCCATTTTGTTTCATTTTTAGCTTCGTCATCAACCATGCGAGCAAGTTTGAAATTTCGGCTTTTGCCATTTCAGAAATTGGTCTCAAATCGCCAGTCTTAAGACTCCAGACTTTGAAATTGTTGTGAAACTTTAGGCATTTTTGTAATCGAATCAGGAATCAAAATTTTGAAGGTTGCCAAATCTGGAAACCAATTTCTATCTTTGTGGGTCTCTCCATTGTCTCTAAGGTGTGTTTGGAAAAATAGAGAATTTGATGTTGATAAAATGACATCTGGAATGGCTTGAAACTTGACTATTGTTGGCATGCAGCACATGACATCTGTACACGTTGATCTCAAATTTAATTTGCAAATGTAGATGTTTATGGCGGTCCAGTTGCCATTCAAAATAAAAAAAATCCAAAAGTAAAATAAAATGACTTAAATAATGATATGATCCCGGATATGATTTAAAATGGTGTCTCACTTCTCCATTGTTTGAACCACAAATGGTGTCTCCCTTTACATGTGCTATCCTTGCGTGAACCACAAAAAATGGTGTCTAACTTCTCAACCGGCGTAAGTTTGAGTGGTGAAATAAGTAAAGGTGGTTGATTTCACCCTAAGAATCAATGGTGAAAGAATCATTGGCAAAGAGTAGAAAGATGTTCCTCTCTTCCTTAATCAATGGATTGGGGTTTCAAAGTTGGAAGATTGAAAGAGTTGATATTCTTTTGGGGTTTCTCTTTTCTGATGGATTTCAAACATGACTCCTCTGTTAGAATTGGTGAAGTTTTCGAACAAGGTTCCGTTGTCTTGGCGTCCATGGAGTTTAGGGATGGAACTCGGAAGTTCGAAGGGAGAGGATAAAAATCTAAAGGGGGTGTTTACTGAGTTTAAAATGGGGTTTTTTAAGTAATTTTCTATGTAAAATAATTTATAAAAAGGTAAAATTGGTATTTWAAAAAATTGGTGCAGGCTTTTGTCGAATTTCTCCAAAGTTTAGGGGAGGTATCTGTTATAATAAAACTATAGGGGAAGTCTTTATTATTGTCAGAAAATTCAGGGAAATTTTTTGTATTTTACCCTATATTTTAAGTAATTTAAGCGTAAATAAAAGGAGTCCGGAGTCAACTAAAAAATATAATTAATTAATTAACCTAAGTTTTGGGTGGAAAATACAAAAAATGCCACTATTATTTTGCGCTTTTCAAACTTACCGATCCAACAATTAGCTCACGCTCGCGCTCCATTTCCAGCTCGCTCAAGCCACGGTACAAAATAACAAAACGATTTGCGAGGGTGTTGGAACGTATCTTGTTCTTAGGTGACCCGGACTCGTGCAAAACACTTTGGCCCATATCTCATCGATGCAATTAACGGTTGATACTGATCAAGCAATCAGAAGATGCAAATGAAATGGGAAAGTTCGTGTGGGACGACGCAACATCGTATCAACCCCTCTTCTGTTCTTCCTTCCCTCGTTTAGTTTTCTTCTAAAACCCAAAAACCCGAGGTCCAGAACCAGCAACCAGGCGGGAAGAAAGTTCAAAGGTTGATTGATTGTGTGTTCTTCCTGCTCCAAGTCCTTCATTCATTCGCCAACCATCAAAGATGTTGAAGCTTTCGCACTTCATGCGGTCGAGGTAATCCGCCTAACTGTAGCCTAACTCCTGTTTGTATTAGCCAAGTACAATGCTCCGAGTTTCCTATGCTCTACGTGTTTCTGTTGTTTTGATAGTAATGCCATCAAATCTCTCTGCTGTTAGCGTGGCTTTGGTTCTCAAATTTTATTTTACAACTTGTGCTGTTGATTGTTGTTTGCATTGCTGAGACTTTTCTAACATGTTTAAGGGGAATTAGTCTTCGAAAAAATGATCAAAAATTAATGTTGAAAATAGTGCTAATCGTTTAAGTTTTATGGCTGCTAATGGCGTTTTTGGTGAGGAGAAGAATGCATACTACTAAGTGCTAACATGCTAGGTTTTGTTTAGTGGGTATTTGATTTTGATGGGTTCTAGTATATTTCTGGTCAGCAAAAGTTGTTTTTGAAACTAAATAGAAGTGAAATGAAATAGGGAACTTTAAATGCTATAAAAGTCAACTGCAGTCTTGCCCTTGCATACGATTACTTCGGTTAAGATTGTTAATTCATACTCTATCAATTGCTTTTGGTGTCCGTAGTTCAAGGCTTCCTACTTGTTAACAAAATTCAGTTGCTCTTACCAGTTTATCCGCCCATTTTCTATAAAGTTTATATGAATTCTCATTAATGGTTTTCATGAATCCTTGACTACCTAAATAAGAAAAAACAAACTGATACGATTGCTCTCCCATTTTAGGGGAATGAAACAGTGATTCTCTCGTTTGTTTGGTCCACTAGAGTGGATGATTTTGAATATGAAACTTGGTACTCATAAATGTTGAACATCATTGTGTTTCTTTTTCTCTAAGAGTCAATAATAAAGTGTCAAAAGGTGGTTCGGTTAATATAGTCAAACGTCTGTGGTCCCATGTTTACGTCTTATTTGGTTTCTTGTTATTTTGTCACTTTTATAGATGACTTTTTAAGAATGGCATGGACATGTTTAATGAAGGATCACTTTGAATTATTCTCCATTTTCAAGCCTTTTGATTACAAAGGTGAAAATTCAATTCAGCTGTTTGTGCGTTACAATTTGATAAATGCCACAAAATATACTTTTCATTCTTTTGATGAGTTCTTTATGTAAATGGGATAAAACACCAACCTTCATATGTTAAGACATCTTAGCAAATTGGTGTGGTTGAATGCAAAAAATTGCCTTTTGTTAGAGGTTGTTAGAGCATTGATGTTTTACATGCTTGTCCCAAAGATTTATTGCATTAATTCTTGTTAGTGGAAAAGTTCTTTAGTATAATTTCTCACATAACATAATTCACCCAATTAGATTAATAAATGGGCTTTTTTGATATCTGGGTAAGTCCCATTTAGGATATCATGAGATATTCCTTTAATTACATCTCTTCTAGGCGTAGAGAAAATTTTGGTATATATTTTCCTTTGAAAATTCTGGTATATATTTCCTCTTTATTTGAGAGAAAACTAGCAAATACGAATAAATAAAATCTTTCTATTCATAACAATTAAGTAAGAATTGTGCTATAGTTTTGGCCTTGCTATTGCATGTGGCATCTCATCTTGTGGCTATATCGAAGGCATTCTCTTTGGAGTTAGAATAATTTGTTGGAAAGGCAAATTGAGCATGCAAGGGAAGAAGTTCACGGTGGAGAAGAAATCCAATAGTAGAGGAGCTTTTATTCAACTATGTGAAGCGTTTGGAAAGGGAAAGAAACAAATTGTTTGCATATCAAAAGGAAAGAAAAAACAAGTGGGTGGGATTTGCCGAAGCTCTGGACTACCTGGAGCATCGAAGGTGGCTGAAAGAAAAATCACTCAAACCTATCACGGTCTTAGAGAACAAAATAGAGTTTAGAAATGAAGCTTCAAAAACCATTGACGACGCGCAGTGGGTGCTGTAAGAGGTCTTTGTGGTGTATCTTTGTTTTCGAGATTGATGCTTGAAGGAAAAATGGATGATTGGCAGAGAAAAAAGGTGGTGCGATTGGGTAAGAAAGTTGCAGGTTGGAACAGGGTATGCTGCAAGACATTATGACTCTATTTCCAGTGGTTGAGAAGGCATCAATCTATCCGTTTGAAACTGCAAGACATTATGACTCTATTTCCAGTGGTTGAGAAGGCTTCAGTCTATCTGTTTGAAACAAGAGCTGCCATCCTTGATCTTGCCGTCGGGCATGACTTGACTGCCTTTGTTAACACTTGCAATGGTAAATTGGAATCCATATTGTAATGAGAAAGAGTTTGAAGCAGGGCCTATCCAAATTAAAATCCTTGGGATTCCCTTCAACCTTTGGACCGAGGAAGTCTTTGAGCAACTAGCAGTGTTGTGTGGCAGTGACCTTAGGGGAGTTAACGCCACAAACCTTTAGACGACAAGAATATTAGTCGGGGGTGCAAAACCCGAAAGGATTCCAAGGCCGTTCAGGGTGTTCACTGGTGGCAGGTGGAGGACGGTTTGGCTCGCGTCAAAAGCTGAATTGACAATGTGGTTGGGAAGGACAGACGAAGAAGAAGATGATGTGGTTGGTAAGCTTACACGCGGAGAGAAAGAAAAGGTCTATTCCCCACCCAATGGTGGCTTTTTGGTCAAGGAAGTTGGACCATCGGATAAGACTTTCCTTGGATCCAAATTCCCTTTTAAGGCATACCTAGGAAAAATGTTTGAATTTAAAAGGTCGGTTCAACTGGGTGGAAAGCTAATCTACGTAGAAGTTATAAAGAAGGATGGCAGGGAAGGCAAGGAACCAGGGGTGGGCCGCCTAGTCGGTTCAATCAACAAGCCTAATTCACATGATGTCTTAAAAGTCACAAGGGGTAATCAAGACAGGTTGAAAGGAGATGGTAGTTTGGGTCTAGCTTTGTCCTCCTCCACTCCATCTAACTTACACGGAGAAAAGTTCGATAAGGTGGCTCGGGTGAACTTCCCTTCATCTCTCCAAGACAAACCCAATTTGTGGTATACTAGATCCAACGCAGATTGGAGAAACGACTCTTCTCAGTCTGATGATGATGGGTGGAGCAGCTATGGCAATTCTGAAGAGGCTAGTGCTTTAGAATAAGTTTTAGGCATTGGCAGTGTCGAAGAAACAGTCCAAGTCTAGCTGGATGTTGAAGACAACTTGAACCTTAATTCTCTCTTCAAGGTGGAAAATGTTAGTTGTACTCAGGCCATTGTTGACTCATGAGGCATCCAAGAATCGCATGGAGTGAAGGGGGAGAGGAGGTCTACGCAGGAGTCTTAGAAACAAATTGAGATGAATAGAGTGATGCGGCCTCAAGCTAGAAGTGGCCTAAACAGACCTTGCCAGTTGCAACAGGGGTCAACTAGTAATCAAGATTGTGAGGAGCCATTTCCAACACAAGGACAAGTATGGGGGCTTCGAAAGGTGGATGCGCAGGGGAACTAGTTAACCTCATTAGCTAATCTGGTTGGGGAAATAGCTACGAGCTTGGCACAGACTGATGCAAATGTGATGCACTCCTAATTTGACAGGGCTGATTCTGTAGGTGTGGGAAACACAGGGATAGAACATGGAAACTTAGCAGAAGTCCTCCCGCCAGTCTTGCTATCCTCTACCTCTCTCTCCTGGTAAGTTCTGTAACTTTAGTGGTTTAAATTTGGGTACTAACCGGTCTTCCTTTGCCTTTGTAGACTCACTAGCTCCCTTCCCTCTTTTGGACTTGCCCATGTTAGCTGCTGGAGGGGGAAAGGGGGAGTGGAGGGAGTAGATGAAAAAACTTGCAGGGGGTGAGAATCACAAATATGACGAGTTAAAATCACAAGGTGATCTTGAGAGGTGCACTAATGGGTTTGTAAATGGACAAGAATTGCAGACGGGGGAGGACCTTGTGTTTGACTTGGTAGTTAAAATGGGGCTAAAGGTGGATAAGGCAAGGAGAGGATCCTTCACCTAAGAGAGGCAATAGGGGGGGTAAAAGAAGGAAGAAGCTTAATGATGTTGAGAAACTCTTAAACAATGTGGATGAGGATAAGGAATTTAGTGCTAGGGGAGAAGAAAGGGAGGACTGTAGTTAGTCAAGGGTTTGGGGACTTTATTAGCCTTGACCATGAAGATTATTAATTGGAATGTGAGGTGTCTAGGGAGTGCCACAAAGAAGGGAGCAATAAAGGAAGTGTTGAGGAAAGAAAAACTTGACCTAGTGCTAATCCAGGAGTCTAAAATACATGAGATTGATGGTAAAATGGATTAGAGGATTTTGTGGAGAAAGGAACATAAGATGGAGCTTTTTCCTTCTTGGGGAGCCTCGGGGGGCATGATAACAATCTGGAGGGAGGAAACAATGCAGTGTACTGAGCAATTGGTGGGCAAATTCTCAGTCTCAGTAAAATTGAGGATTCTATTTGATGGGTTTGAATGGGTGCTTACAAATGTCTACGGGCCAAACTCATATATAGAGAGAAATTTGTTTTGGGAGGAACTGGCAGATGTTAGAGGGCTATGGGAGGGTCCTGGTGCTTAGGGGGAGATTTTAACATAATTAGATATCTAGAAGAAACAAATGGGGGTAGGGGAAGGGTCACTACAATTATGAGGAAATTCAATGAGTTCATAGAGGATTTCGAACTAAAAGACTTCCCTCTTGGGCATTCTAGGCTTACTTGGTTAAATCTTTAGGCTAATCCAATATGCTCTAAGCTTGATGGATTTTTAGTTTCTCTAGATTGGGAAGAGCGTTGGAAATATTTGTTGGGAAGAAAATTGCCTAGAGTCACCTTGGATCATTGGCCAATTTGCTTGTTTCAGAAGAGATTTGATGGAGGCCCATCCTCTTTTAGGTTTGAAAACATGTGGCTTACCCATCCAAAATTCAAGGACAGAGTTAAGGAGTGGTGGATACTCTGATTCAGCTGCCTATCTGGGAAGGCCAAAAGTTCTTAAAGAAATTGCAATTTCTCAAAGAAAGAATGAAAGATTGGAATAAATTGACCTTTGGGAGACTAGAGGAAAAGAAAACAAGTTTGATTTCTCAGATTGAGGAGATTGATAAAAAGGAGATGGTGGG